AAAATAACTAGTAAAAAGGGGACTTCCCTAAGAAATCTTGCACACTTCAGAACATGACACACAAACGAGACACTAAAACAAAAGACAATTTGCTCCATTTAGGGGAAGCAACAATCAACAACTTGTACAAGGGAAACTTACTAGGTAAAGGAATAGCAGATGAGATTTTTAAAGGACTATCTTTTGTGCCATCGACTATGAATTACAATTCAGTATTGTACCTTCACTCGTCGATTTTCCATGTCCCGTTCTTGCTCCTCCGTAAGACCATTATCTGGTTGGCCTGGCGGTCCTTGCACGAATCCCCATCCTTGGGATGCCACGGATGCAGCCTTCACATGATAAAAAAGAAATCGCAAACTGTACTAGTACTTCCTACTAGCGAATTTTAGACCTCAACCGAGCTTTGTTTCCCCACCTCTCTGTTCTTGCACGGCTTTCGTCGACTGCACGAACAAGCCTCTCCGCAGTAGCGACCGGCTGTTTTGCAAGGACATCCAGTCCTTTTTCTTCCTGCTTTCGTAGAGCAAGTGCTTGTACACTGGCAAGAGTTAGGAACGTTGTCCTACGCAAACGGGAAGGAAATAATGTTGACTAGATTTCGAGCAATCGAGTGGAATAAACTGCGGTATACAGAAGTCCAGGAGGAGTCGCTGACTACAAAAGCGGCAAGAAAGTTGTGGCTAAATTAATACACGGATACATACCGAAGAGCGACTTTGTTCCGAAGAAAGGTTCATTTCTGTAAAAGGTTCTAACGACAATAAGGAATCTCAAATTATGAAGGTTTCGCAGCGCGAGTCGGCTTTTCACATGGGCTCATATAAACATGGGCTTGTTTACATCATTTGCATCTGCCAAATGCAAGCATGCGCAGTAGCCGTGACACAGCTCCTCTAAGCAAAGGCTCTTTCTTTTCTTTTAAGAATAAAAAACTCATAACACTCTTAGAATTAAGTGGTCAGAGTTAAAGACTGTTTCATTAAAGTAGAATCGCACGTGATAACCTCGTGAATAATGATGATGCAACCATCTACAACAATGATAAAAATCTTAGCTATTCGGTATTCGACGACCTTCATTATTTTAAGAAACCTTGAAACCTTCGAGTCTTCCCCCTACGCAAAGTTTGGTGAGTTGGTATTCATGAAGTACTTTAACAATTTGTTTATTTTGCACTAGATGTCCGAAGGAAAGACAAAGAAGAGTGACTTTATCAGATCGCATCAGCTATGCGCTGCGGTTCTCGTTTTCATTAATGTACAGCAATACCCAATTTCGCACAAAACATAGCCTTAATTTAGGATTAAGACAGAAGATTGCCGATATTGTTACACTGAAGCATTCAAAATAGCTCATGCATGTAAAATGTGGCTATGTTTTTTTATTTTTTCGATGTCGTTGTTTGCTCGTGGAAGTATCTATCAAGGTCTCGATCCAGAGCGTTTTAGTGATGAATCTCGAGGAAATCGAGAGATTTGTGTTTGTTTGGCTTTGATTGTTTGAATTTGGCTTGCAAATTCATTCATTCATTTGTCGATTCGTGAATAAATAGAGGTACGATGATATCGATCAAATCCTCCTTCCTGAAGACGGCTTTTTCTTTGGCATTCAGCAAAAGTGATGTGCTAGACAAGAATTCTTCTGCTCGGAGTAAACTGCCCACCCTAGCTTGGTGGTCTCGGGAGAAAAGAAAGGAAAGGTGCGAAGCAAACCAGTTTTTCGTGTAAAGTGACTTCAATACCACGTGCAAAGTATTCTTCGCCTGTTAAGGCGTTAAATTTGATCTTCGTGTCTGAAAATCTCTGCCAGTTGTGAATAATTCTGCTGATAATTTGACCATGAGTCACATTTCTCCGTTGAGGAGAAAGAAAAGCTTGGAACCATACGGAATCAAAATGTATATCGCTCTCTGAGGCTTACCCCTGGCTGAGCATTCAACTGTAAAATTATTTGACTTTCGTGTTGCGGCAAGAGACTGCGAGGCAGACTACCGTCGGGTCCAATTTTTTTTAAACCTTATAGCCGACAGAAAACTTCTTGAGCACCACATTAAACCCGTTAATATCCGTGCGTTGATATCTACGCACCTCCATTCGTGAATCTGAAAAATTATAGACACAGTAGAGCAGCCAAACACATAAAAATATTTTGTTTTCCTCGGGATTCATCACTTAACCGTGCGTGACCTCGATGAAATTATTTCCATAGGCAATTAAAGAAATCTAAAATTGTAAACAAGCAATTACCAAAAACTCGGGCCTCGTTTATCATCTGCTTGCACTCTGGAAATTTACTCGAAGAGCGTTCCCGTTTTATTCATCACAAAAACACGGAAATAACATCATATTTTCCTTTTAAAAAGGCTTACCCACCCCCATTTCCAGGGTTCATTTTCACTTTGTATTCTGTGTATTGTCTTCCAGCTCAAACGCCAGCACTTACTTTCAAATTGAAACGCCTAGATATAGCAGCTTTTGAAAGATGTCAAGTTGTGAAAGCTCCCAGCGGGGTGCTCCTTGACAAATCTGGTCGAGGTGTGCGAAATACTTCCTGAAATGCCTATTCTATCGATTCAAATATGTGATTTTCTCTGCCTAGATTATTTAAGACCTGAAACACAGCACTCGTGGGACCATTGCAGATAAACGTATCAAATTGCAGACCCCAGCCTTTCACAGTAAGGCAGCATGGGTGTATTTGGTGACGGGACGAGGAAGCCGCGTCCAACCAACCCCGCCGCCTCTTCATCCTTCTTTCTTTTTCAGATTTCTCGGGTTCTAGATCAATAACAGAAATTTGTGTATCCGCCCCTCAGGGTTCTTCCCTCTTTCCTTCAACAGAAGATCATTGAGATCTCGATTCTGTGACTACCTGCAAGTCTAGTAATTCTAGACATGATAATTTTATCAAGAATCGATTTTCTTAAGGATCGTGTAAAGCTGTTAAAATAAAAACATCCTTTACCTCTAGCTTCGAAAGCAGCCAGCTCATTCCGGACTTTCTCATATTCTTGAGGATCAATAGTTACAGTGGCTTCAACCTGCTCTCCGCCAGCAAGTTCTCGCATTTCGTCAGTAACAAATAAAGCTTGCAGACTTGCTTCCAGTGCTTTATCTTGGTACAAACGCCACAAAGTCTCAAGAGCTGAAAGATTCACTACTTGAACTTTGAGACTCACGCATCCCTCGGAAATTTGAATCAGATTGGCACCAGCGGGCAGCACACTGTTATTAACGGCAGCAACGAGCTGATCATATGTTGAGTCACGAAGCAAAAGCGCTAAGCTGGAAGCAATTTTAAAGGCCACATTGACCGCTTTGAACACAGTCTTGATGTTCAGGACTAAAACAAAGACAACAGAATAATTATCACTGACTTTAGCTTTCTTGAGGCTATGAGATAACTGGGCGAGGCAGAAAAAAAAAGTTGAGTACGAAAGAGGAAAATTTGGACAAATAGAGAGCGCAGGAAAAGAAATGACAGAACTAAGGCGTTTGAGTTCTTGCGCGCTCGATGGCCCTCTTTCCTCTTCCCTGTTGAGCGCCTACCTCACCGGCTGTATATAGTGCTCCCGCAGATTTAGAATTTTGAATAATCTCATCCTATTTTTTTTACTTTTTTAAAAAATAGGCCAATTTCGAGTTATGAAAATTCACATTTGACTCCGAGGTAGCCTTCCACGAAAACTTTCCTACGGGCAAAAATGACGGCTCTATATTAGCCTGCGGGGTAAGCACAAAAAAGGGGAGGGGAGGGGAAGGAAAAGCTCCTAGGGAAGAGGGGTCCTTTCCGTTTTCTCCCCAGTCCCCTCCCCTCCGTACCTCTTTCGAAACCTAACATACAGGCTAGCTCTACGCTTTCGCTGCAAATAAGTCCACCCTGAATTATCCTTATTTTCATTCAATAAAAAGCGTTCCAAGCTGCAATAGACTTCAGCTTAGTGATTTCGAGGTTTCCCTTTTGTTGTCTCTGGTTAACGATGGACAGAATAGAGCCAAGCACCTTGACACTATTTTTAATAGACTTCGCCGGTAATTCAACAGTTCAGTTGGTTAATGTGCATCTCCTTATCTAGTATTTTTGTTAGGGAATGATACGTCGTTCAACATTTCAACAGTTCCACTTTGGCACTGGTAAATCATTCAGAAAGCGAGGGTTCTGAATTGGATTAAAGGAATTAGAGAAAATCATACAAATTAAAACTTGGCTTACGTAAATGAGTCAACTCCTAAAAGGATATCGAAGGATAACTGCGACTTAAACTTACCTCCAGTCAGTTTGTCGCTAACTGATGACACGAAAGAAGCTGCTTGTGCTGAAACAAAAAAGTCAGAGTTAAGTCAGACGAATCGGTGCAAATGAAGTTGTAAGAAGTACAGCTACTGAGTATTAACGCAGCCATGTGGAAATACCTTTGCGTTTTCTGAACTTGTTTTCACGACTTCGTCGTTGCTCGAATTCTTCTACTTCCTTGAGCAGATCACTTTTCTCCGTCTGAGTCAAAATCTCCTTTAGAATATCGAGGCAGTCAATTCCCAGCCAGTCGTTGCTTTCTAGCTCCTTAAATAGCGATCGAACATCTTGAACGTTGCCTTGTCTTTCTTTTGTAATCTTTTCTGCGCAAATCGAGACGAGTCGTTCCAGATCATTAAGCTCGTCGAGCACTCGAACGGTTTGCTCAAGCAAGTTGTTGTATTCCTTTCTCTTGGTCTCAAACTTTTCAACTTCGTCAAAAAGAGCCCATTCATTAACTCCTTTCAACATGCCTTTTAATAAGACTAGATGATCGGGACTCAGAAATCCTTTTTGTTCTAATTCGTCAAACAACGAGCTCGCTTGAAAGTTCTCTTCGCTTCGAGCCGTCACTTTGCCTCTGCACAAAAACAGTAACTGCTTGCCTACTTTCAGCTCGTCTAGTCTCTCACTTATCTGGTAGAGTAAGTTATTGTATTCCATCTCTGGCATTCTGACGACGGGTTAGTTCAGTCTCCCTTTAATTTCTTGCTGTATGAATATTTACTCCAGCTAAGATGAGCGATCGTGTAGTCCAAACCGGGGCATACTTCAATCACGGAAGCGGGGATTATGAAGCGCAGGTCACGCGATCTACAAACTCGTTTCCAGGGTCTCTCTTCCTCGAAAATCCTGGAAACGAGGTTGGACATAAACGCTTCATCTAAGATCCGAGATAAAGGGATTGAGCGCTTGCTTTAAAAAATGAAGGTGAGGATGAAAAACATCATTGTTTAACGTATTATTAAAAGAGGCCTTTTTTAAAAAATCTCTCAAAAGCATAAACACTCTTTCATCCTACGGTCTTGAAAGTTATGTTACCAGCATGTCACTCTGTATAATATTCTCTTCATTTCATTCCGTGGTCAGTTTTTCGTTTTTGTTTGATTGATTTGAGGTATTGTCACGAATAATACCTTCTCTTTTTTTATCTCATCTTATTTCTCGTATGACACTGTCAATATTACTTTCAAATAACGCAGACACATCAAATTGAGCCTGGAAACGCAAAAAAAGGTGGGGCTCAAAAAGATTTGGAAAAATGCCTCA